GCTCATTTTAAGCTATTTAGAATTATTTCAAATATTTATTTTTTTCTTATGTTTTTTTGCATAGTTATATATAAGTATCTATATGTTTATGCTCAGTTAAAAAGTATGACAATTTAATACAAGATTCCACACAATTCAACACGTACTTGTTAAAGTGTTTTAAAAATATACAAAACATAATATGTACCTACCAACACATTTATTATTTTTTTTGTCAACGATTGAAGTTGTAGTTTTGACCAAATAGTAGATTGATTTAGAGAAATAAATTATTAACATATTTTGCATTTTATCATTGTCTAATAATGAAAAGATTTTAAAGTAATCTTTGTAATTGTTCATTGAATCATTTGTAAGTTAAAGGACATTGAATAATATTTTTACTGTAAATACTAAATCATAAAAAGTTTATGCAATATCCAGAAATTCAATTAACTTAAATTCTAAAGATATTAATATTATTGCTATCAATGTTCCATTGGTGCGTCGCGTCAAATCGTACAGTATGCCTGAAATTATGTATATTTACGGAATTACCCACCGCAATACATCGTTAATAACTATTTTTACAAAAATATGAGATCTGTTAGTTCGTGGCGTTACCAACTGCAGCAGAACAAAATTATACGTGCACGACGCAATTAAAGTGAAAAATAAAAAATTGTATATTCTTGTTTGATGGTGATATCTATACCTATACCTATCTAAGAGGCACATAGGCGCAATTTCAGCTTTTGACTTGGGGTGGGGACTATTCAAATATAAATCAAACAGACCCGGAGGCTATGACTATACTATAATAATTATAGTATAATTTAAACAGGCCGTTAATTATACGCTAGGATATTTTTACCGCCTTCAAAACACATTTTTATAGGGGGTAAAAATATCCTATATGAATTCACCTGGGTGGTAAATATATCCTAGTATAATTTAAATAAAGATTAATTTATCCCAGTATATTTTTACCCCCCCCCCCTGTAGAACAATTTTACCGGGGGTAAATTTTATCCTAGTATATTTTTACCGGGGGTAAAATTAACTTAGTATATTTTTACCCCCCCTGTAGAACAATTTTACCGGGGGTAAATTTTATCCTAGTATATTTTTACCGGGGGTAAAATTAACTTAGTATATTTTTACCCCCCCTGTAGAACAATTTTACCGGGGGTAAAATTATTCTAGTATATTTTTACCGGTGGTAAATTTAACCTAGGATAATTTTACCCCCCTTATAATTTTACCGGGGGTATAAATATCCTAGGTTTTCTTTACCCCCGGTAAAAATATCCGGGGGTAAAAATCGCTTGTTACAGCGGCTCGTGTGCTCTGAAAGTGGGAGGGCGATATAAAATTGCTTATTTATGGAAAGTATCGAACACAAATAATATTAATAATAATAATTAATTTTAATCTGTTTAATAGTTTAATACATATAAATTATAAATGATTATATATATTTTAAATTGTCAACACYTTTTTATAGATAGAATTGATTAGAATTACGACCGCACAAAGTAAATAATAAATACGCAAGTTCGGAATCCGTGCATAACGGCCAACGGGCGATTAAAATCATCACCCCGGCGGCGGCAGTATTATTATTGTGTTCCCACTTCTTAGTTTTTGTATTCTAACCATAATAATGACGAGCGACTTTTAACATCGCCCAAGCATGGCGTGTGCTGCTCGCCGGTCCCGGCGAATTGTCATTGGTTATCGATTCTCAGAAGCTACAGCGTCAAATGATTTACAGTCAAATTCGTGTATAACGATGCCGTATATAACGATATTCCGGGTAAAACGATTCCAAGCAATGTATTTGGTTGGTTTTATATGTTACGTGTAGTACTTTTATTCGTATATAACGATATCGGTTATAACGATAATCCGGATATAGCGATGTTATTTTAAAACGAAAATTGGTTTTTATAATCACCTATAGCGATTAATAATACAGTATTGTAGTAGTAAATTTGATTTCGTCCAAATCGATAATTCTTAATCTTATTTGTAACAGATAATGTGTCTTGTACGACCGTACTGGATACAGCTAACGTTTCTTACTCGTTTAGTCACCGTTTTGATTGCTATCCGTTTAGACACGTTTCGAATTCCGTAGTTAATAATGTCAAATATTTCTAATTTTGTTAAAAAATCTTATTCAAATTATAAACAAACTACTATTAAAGATTATTTTTCAAACAAATCGTAAACATATACTCTATGTCTATACAGGTATATTCTGTACATTTATTAAAATTTATATAAAAACCTTGAATGTTAAAATACATATGTAATCTTAAATAACAGTAAAAAATGTGTTTAATAAATCAATTTTTCAAAAAAATTATTTTTTTTATGATCCGGATATAACGAAGTTTGGTTATAACGATCAGATTCCTTAGGTCCCTAGAAGATCGTTATAAGCGAATTTGACTGTATTTTTGAACTCCCATTATCTGATAATGTTTTCATAATATGTATTAGTTTAAATGTAGGAAACACAATTTTTATTTTTGACAATATTATACTAAAATATAAATGAGAAATTTAATATTTTACTTATAAATTGGTAATAAATGAATAATGATTATAATTCTAGAACGGGAGGCAATCGCCCCGCCGCCACTATAAAAATATACGAATTAAAAATAACTAGACATAAACGAACCAAAAGTGGTACAAAAATAACGAATTCAAAATTGAATTGCAACAGAATGCATAATCAAATACAACCCTAAAACGATAAACATAAAGAAAACTTTAAATCTAAAGAAAGAAATTACTTTTGTACCAAAATATCAAAATCGGAAATATAAAATAAACCAATAGATTGTTTAAGAAGCGATTAAAATTTGACAGTAAAAACCCAACCGGTAGGAAACATACCGACAAAGTCACACTATACAATTTTTGGAACGTAAATACAGTAATATCCCAAAAAGAATGGCAATAGCAACCATTAGTGAAATAAACATACAATGACGAGAATTGAACAAAATAAACTTAAATAATGACACTATCACCAATGAATTCAAAATAACCAACAACCAAAATACATAGTACAATCATAAAAATGTCTAATGAACAACGAAAGAAACTCTTAAAACTAATATAAACTTTAAGTACTTATTATTTATTAACATAAAATCTAATATAGGTAGATTAAACTAACGTAGAACAGTGTGAAAATTAATTTAAAACATACAAATCGATATTTAAACCAACATAAATAATTTACATTGTATAAAATAATAATCAGAGTTCTTCCCACGGTTTTTATGTAATAATAAAAAAAAATAATTGAAAGATAAAAAAATTTAATTTAACGCCACATCAGCGTTTATTAGATATAAACAAAAACTTCTGTAATATTATAACATAGAAAAGAAAAATAAATATATAATTTATATTTCATTAACTCCAGGTATCAGGATGATTATATAATTTAAAAAATGTTTAAAAAGTGCAGAAAAAGAACAAAATGTATTTTCATTATTAAATTAACCTTAAAGACGTTGGTTGATTGCCTAATGATTTAAAAAATTTTAACTTAATGTTTTAACAATAATGCCTATATTAAATATATTAATAATAAGATTTTATAAAATCATATTTTTAACGAAGGAAATAAAACAATTTTAGTACCTATACCTTCGTCAAATAATTGATTTTTCTAAGTATTATCAAATTATACTTTTAAAGTTTGATTAAATGTATTTTTAGTGTTTTTTCGAGTTACAGAAGCCAAGCTCTAATTAATTAACATCTACCAATAGTTTTTAATATTCAAAAATACCACCCGTCTATTAAGCGTTTAATTAATAAAATATTGTTTATTTTTATCCAATTACACTACTGCATATAAGACTGCATTAAATATAATAGTATGTATTTTATTAATTATAACATAAATATTACTTACGTATGATTCTATTTCCATCAAAAACCTAAACATGCATTTATTATTAAGGTCCATTTTAACAATTTGTTGCAAAATTTTTTCTAAGTTTTTTTCATCAGCAGCGTAAATTAAATGTTTAATAAATGTTTCTGCTTCAAGATTTAACGCTAACATTTCTGTATCGTCATCTTGTTGTTTTTCAGTGTCTTTAATATGTCTTGATTTTACTAAAATATGTTTGAAAATAAAATATTACAGCATTTTATCAAAACAGATTTTTTGACAAATTATTTCATCGGTTTTTAGAAATTATACTGCATGACTTTTAGATAAAGTTGGCGAAAAAAAAAACATTAAACGGAGCACTCGGATTGATTATATAAAGTTATGACTACTAGTTTTTACAGCCGTAGCCGTTATCCTCCAAAAATGAGATACTGTTTACCCCCAATTTCTATTTTCCATCAAAATTTTTTGTAATTACTCAGACTTGAGTTTTTAGTTAACTGATATAGATAGCTGATACCAGAATGTAATCATCCACCGATAAGCCCAAAATATGATCCTATCTCTTACTTTAATTTTAAAATATTGGAGGAAAATAGACATAATTTTAGTCGAAAATATTGTGGAAGAAAATATAAACCAACCTCTTTTGTGGAGAAAAATGGTATCTCATTTTTGGAGGAAAATGAAACCACCCATTTTGACTTCCCAACCTACCCAATTTGAATTGTGCTTGCCTAATTTGAGACTTGAATATACATATAGCATACATACCGCCGCGCGCCGTTTCAAGTAATATATAATAAGGATATACATAGGTACAGTGAATCTTGATATTGAATTGATCGCAGGGACAAAAAAATTCTAGTTATGGAAAATTGTATGCACATAAATACATATAATAAACTGCAGGGGTCAAGACATTCTTTCGAGTTATCGAAAATTCGACTTAAAAGTTAAATCACACTATATAATATTACATAATCTCATTCATAATTTATATTGTGTATTTCAACCAAATGTCTTATAATATAATCGTAGTCTTATCTCCAGTAACCGAATTAGTTATTTTTTAAATCTATATATTTTAATACATACACTTCTGTGAAAGAAATGTTGTCATTCTTAAATCTTCGTTCACCTGCCGTTCAAGTGATAATATATGATTTTTATAATCACCAGTTTGATCATTACTTGTTTTTAAATATGTTTCCAATCGCTCCTTAGCTTCCTTTCTGAATCAAGTATGCAATTATTACCTCCACTGAATATAAAACCCGTTAAAAATATAAAAAACTGGGCAACGCTCTGAGAGTCTATTATAGTTTATAGGTAATGGATGTGTTAAATTTGAATTCAATGATATAAAATCATTATAGAACTATGGAAGGTTAAAATCAATTTTGTCGACAAAATTGCATTTGAAAATGTTGTTGTGTGTATTGTATATAGTATAATAATATACCTACTATAAAAGTTTCAAGTAGGACCCACAAATACATTTTTTAAACTACAGAGAAATAACTAAAACCGTTATTGGTTTAAATATATAATCTCATCAAAATCTGAACTTTAAATATCCATAAAATAACGTGTTAATATATATATTAATATAATTTTTTTGTTTTTTTGGTCACAGTATGAACTACTTACGTGGAAACCTTGTTCTAAATTTATAGGTTAGGTTATAGGTTTATACCTGTATGTGTAAGTCCTTGTTACTTGTTCGGTAAGAACAGATACTAATTCTTTTCCTTTGTTCAGCTTTTCCATGTGTGAATTATAAATGTTTTGTATTTGTTGCCGCCGTTTAAGTAAATTTTCCACTTGTATTTTCAGTTGGTTTTGTTCTTCGAGTAACCTATTGTATTCGTGATTTTCGGTATTCTGCAAAACAATATAGTATTCGTTATAAAACGAACTGACCGGGCTTACAAAAATAAAAATAAAATAAACTTAATTCTATTATTGTGGTATTTAATTATATATTCATACAGTTGTCAATTTCGGAACGTCGACAATCTCCATTCTATTTCTGATTGTAAGTTTTTCCAGTTCAGTTTCTAATTGGACTATTTCTTTGTTCACTTGTGCTTCAATTTTTCTCTGTTCATTCAACTCAATTTTGGCCTGTTTAGTCTCGTGAATTAAACTTAAAAACTTTGCCCTGTACTTCTCATCTTTCTTTGTCTTTATTTTGGACTCCATCGCATTCAAATCAATCGTCAAGTTATTTCGTTCTTCTTCCAAGAACCTAATGGCCCATCTACGCAACCACACATTCCAACGTCAATAACCATCAGGGCTGGATTTAAGTATGTGATGGCCCCGGGCGTAAAACGTTTTTGGGGCCCTAAATAAGAGTGCAAAAAGTTCTTTATCATAAAATTGTCTATAATATTATAGTTATGCATTGCTGTATATAAGAACATACAAAATGTGGTGGCTTGCAGACTGCTAAACGCTGTTTGGTCGTTTTCATATTTTATTTATCATTTTCAAGGTACATTTTTAATTCAAGTACGTTTTGTGAGAGAGAGTTAAATATACGCCATGAATATAATTACCAATGTCAATATCATAAGAAATAATAGGTTGGTAATCCATGGCGAACCTAATGAGTAATTACAATCTATTATTCAATTGATTTTTTAACATAATGTGCTTTAAAATTTTTTATAAATAAAAATGACCATAGCAAGAATTAAAATACTAAAAAACCTATAACAGAAGTAAGAGTAGGTTTATCCGATAATATGAATGTTATATAGCTTGAAAATTCTCTTTACCGTTTACCTTTAATATTATACCTAATATACATTGGTTGGAAATATATTATATAAATAAGTATGTAGGTATAATTAAATAACTTGATTATAACTATTTAAATCTTAAATTTTATTTTAACTAATTTTAGGGAATAACTTAATTACCAATCCGCAGTCCGGAGGCCATCACATTGTTGTATGAACGCATAAATATATTTTAAAATATTATAAAGCTATCATGACCAGCAAGTTTTAATTGTGAATAGCACATTAATTAATAACTTAAGTATTTAAAAATCTCATCGTAAGTTTTTTTTTTTTTAATATGCATGCATTTACACAAAACTAATTGATATTCGTTAATAAGTAATAACATTTATTTAATTGATTATTATGAATAGTAAATTTAAAAAAGTGTAAATATAAATTCTTGAAAACTGACATTAAATATAATTAATTAATACGATACCCCAATCGTCTAATGTCTGATGTTACAAAATTAGATTTTTTGCTTGTATGTATTTGATCATAATTTTGCTAACTTTCTTTGAGTACCAAGATTATAAGAATAAGAATATCGAAAACAACTACTTAATAAATAACGATTATCATAAATCGACATCTTGGTTTAATGCTCGAATAACATGCGCAATCTTCAAATATGAAATTTTCTCATGATATAGGGTATTAGAACAATAATACGATATTTATTACTATAATATGTACTCAGAAACGTTAATAAATTACTATATTTTTGTTAATATGTAAAATTATAGAGTGAGAACATATTGTGGTGTTCCTAGACTGCAATGCACATTTCCACTCAGACAACCCTCATTAAATCCTGCCCTGATAATCATTATTAATAACTTACTGAAATAAACTATTATTAGCTATTTACATACAAATGAATATTCCACCATTATTACTTAATACAGTTATAACTTTTAACTTAATTTATAATACTGCTATAGTTGTTTGTTGTATCATTTAAGTGCAGTGACAAAAATAAATAAATTGTATTATCTCGTTCCCTATACTGATTTAGTATTACTTATTAATCATTACTACATACTATTTTAATTAAATAATTAACTATAATATTTTAATCTATTGTTATTATTGTTATACGATTAACCTACTCAATATAAGTATAATTCAATATAGCTATATATAGATTACTGCATCATTATTAAATCCGTGATGATTGTTTGTTTTAAACTTTAAACTCTTTATGACCTTTTCATTTTGAGTTCATCGTATAAAAATATTTACTGTTCAATATTCATAGTAATAATAAATTATAATAAAAATAAATGGTAAACACATTTTATTCTTACTCTTGACGTTTGGATGGATTAGCAGTTGTTTTGTTTTTTCTGAATTTGTTTCGTTTGTTTATATAACCATATTTAAGTATGTCAGCCTTTAGTATCTCGCTAGTGTTATCTTCTTGAGGTATTATGTTGTTTGCCATTGTGTATAGTGAAATTATACAGATTTTCTATTTAAACTATTTAATGAAAACAAAATACATAAAATAGTGAAATAACGGTTTAAAGTTTAAACGAAATATTCTGGTGAATAAAAACGAATAACAATATCATGCACGAAAAAATAAACTTTTGTCAGTTTGTTTTTTGACAAAACATATTATAGAGAAATATATATACATTTTTAGTCCCTCGTTACCAACGAATATACAAACATTCCCTGTGAAATTTCGTAAAAAAATTAACAACAGTTATTATGTTTTTAATCTTTTATCAATAGTTACTAGTATAAGGATTATAATATCATGTTTTTACATATCAATTATGCATGTATAATAGGTATTCAGAAGGACTATATTGATTATAATATATTCTATAGACTATACTACTATAGTACTTACCTAATACCTATTAATGATTATAATCATTATTTCATGGTAGTTTACTAGTATAGCTACAGCCTATCATTGCAGACAATACTAGCAAGTTTAAGCCTTTTAAAAGCCATGGCCCTCAAATTTAAAATTCAATTTTTTCGTGAAATCTAAAAATATTTTTTCRTTGTACATGCAATATGCATATTTTACTTGTAAGCAGATATAAATAATCAGCTGACGACCACCTACAGATTGAAAATCGTTGGTATCCAGGAGACAGAGATGGTAAACGGAGATATTTACCTCACCCTTTTTAAAGGCTGGTCAAATGTTTGATCCCGTCCAATTTCAGTTAAACTACAATCGTGATGATACAGCTGATGTATATCACTACGATTCGTGTGTATTGTGTATATCCCTTAGGAGCTTATGTATGATTGATGATTGTTTATTTTTTAGTACAATATTTATTTTTTTATGATTAAGGAATTGAGAATTAAGAATAAAAATGGTATAAATAGTTACAAATTAGATTAACATACAATGGTAGTGATAATAATAATAATTACATGATAACAAAATCGAATAATATTTAAATATAAATGTGTTAACACGTGTGGTGTGTGAAGACATGTTAAGACGTGGCGTGTGAATAGTGTGTCCCTGCCTTAATATTATAATTTATAATCATCACAATATTTTATCGATCTTAATCGATAGGTATATATTTCTTCTTATTTTGATATTAAAGCTTATTACTACTCAGATAAAGTACCTAATGCAGGTTTACAATGTTGATATATTAAATTAGAAAGTGTATACATTTTAAAACACGTATCTAATTGAACTTTAGTTTTTTTTTTTTGCTTTACTGTCAACTAAGAATTTTTATAGCTTCTATTAACCAGGTCCCGCAATCTCACTCTCTTATAGTCTCTTGGGTACGCCTCTGAAGTCTGAAGTGCTGTAGAAGTAAACCCTACTGCTTCATTCTCATCACAATGTAATTTTGAACAATTGGTGTCATTATTTCAGATTTATGCTCAAAACATGGAAATTCGCCGTGGTAATATTGCAGTGATAGAGTTATTTGGTACTAACTATCAACGTTTATGAACCTTGATTGAGCTACAAACGACTCACGCGGGTGGTCACATATTTTTTCCGGAGTTCCTCGGAACAATCAAGGGCCACGAGCCGTAAATCGAGCTATACACTATTTAGTAAGGCTAATCTTTACCACCATTGGCTGGTATTATTATTGAGATTTAAATTTTAATTCGGATAATGGCAGTGCCATCTACAACCATCAAATTATTTTTAACTCAAACGTGTGAATGAAGAACTGGCCTTCACTGCTGCTCATTTCCATATAGTTATATAGCGCTGCCGTATACGTTTCACAATAATGAGAGGGATGTAGGCTTGGACTGGCTGGAATGCTGGGATGTTACAGCATCTGTTACCCTAAAATGAATTTGATCTTATTTGTTTTTAATCTAATATTGCATAATTTTGTTTGTATGTTTGTTGTAACTTTGGTACCGTACTTGGTTGACGTATTTTCATTATTTTATTAAAACAAAATTTAATATTTTAATATTTTATAAATAATCTACATATTTTAAATTTGCTCCAAGCATTTTTTTTTATTTGCCCTTTAAATTATATAGCATCCCATGCTCTTTTTTATCATACGCGTCTAGAGGAATGTAGGAATATAGGCATAGTTTCATCGGCTTACTTTTTAATGCGTCTCTTAATAGCTATTGTTTAACCTGCAGTAAGTAGTACAGTACCAGTCAATTGTTCCATCAAAAACTACCCATTTAACTTCGTTAGTCCGATCATTGAATTGAAGTGATAAGACTTCTGAAAATGTATATATTTATTCGGCACAAAGTCTTGAGATCGATCTGATTACATTTTTAATTTAACCCTCAAACTTTCACAAATTTGATTTAAATTTGAACAAAATTTAATCCTGAAGTAGTATTTAAAAAATGTTATTGAATGCAACTGAAAAAGTAGCCTGACCGATTTCAAGTATACTTCACGCCGAACTCGAATTAATTTTCATATGTGTTATCGTATTAATATAACTTAATATATTGACTACAACGATCGGATTGATTGAAGTAAAATTAATATTTTTTGATGGGAAAATTTTACAAAACTGAACAGTAGCCGTTATGACCTAATTTTGCATGCGCGTAGAAAGTCATCAATAACAATAAATTGAAGGGTGGGACGGTAAGATAACAACAATCACGCGTAATGTTCATTTACTACCTACGCACACGACAAGAATAAATAATACGGAAAACCAGAAATTGCTTACTTACAACTCCTTAATTACGACCAGTGTCCAATCGCCTTAAGKGGCAATATTTAGGCAATTTATGATCCGCCTGCCATAGTTAATGGGCCGTTTATCAACGGTCCTCACTACGCGCCCCACAACAAGTAATACGTTTCAATATATGAAAATAATTTTTAATTAAGCCAACCAAGACTTTTTATGTATCCCTCTATCTATTGTGCTTATTGTAAAAATATTTTACAAAGATTGTACAAATCAAAAGTATAATAAAAAAAAAATTCGCAAGTGATTTTCAAAAATTATATTTAGCCCTTTCTAAAATCCTAGGGAGGACCATTTCCGTAAATGATTATTAACGAGTATGTATTCCCTTGTGTACTTTAAAGGACCAATGAGACAAACAAATTAAATATTTTTCATACAAAATATATAGAAAAGACTGAAAAGAGGCTAACAAATTCATATGAGTATTACAAATTAAAATAGAATTACTATAAGTATATTAATTTTTCACAAGCTGAGAGGTGTAAATGCATGAAAAATCCAACTGCCATGAGAAGGTTAATGCAGGGCTACAGCTTCCCCCTCCAAAAAAATATTTGGGCTAGTTTTGCCACTACACATAACTCGACTTTATATGCGGATATGCCTATATATTATATTATATAACAATATGTCAATATCACGAACTGCCACACGCCCAGACCCGTAATTAGAATGTGTCGTCTCAGCAATCTCACAATCTGTACATCAAGTTCGAAATTGTATTTTTATTGAATTTAAGTACATTTTTAAATTTTTTCGGGCATTTTTTAAACCATTAAATKATACTTTTTTAGGGCATTTTTTTATTTTGTATGGCATTAAAGTGTGTATTTTATATTGTATATTTTCCGTTCACTAGTTATCATATTGTTAATCTTTATCGTTAACAATTATCATTTTTTAATTTATTTACAAAATGTAATGATTTATTTTCAACGCATTGAAATATAAACCGATCATTGGATTCTCGAAGTGTGAAAAAAAACTTCAGTCACAGAATGGTGCGCCGCGCCGAAGTCGACAGTAAAATAAAAACATCTTCAATGGAAACGTGAAACAAAGGATCACGAATATAACCGTGCCTTCCAAAATTCAACAATGATGGGGACTCTGTTTGGTAGTTGTTGTATACAGAAATATTTAGATTGTGTTGAATTATGGAACATGATAGTGTTCTTTGATGATAGTATGATTACAAAATTATTGCCATTTTATCAATATTGATAATAAATTTAAATTGTGTAATTGTGTTATAAACTATGAATTTTGTTTTTGTTTTCTGCCCGATTTTTTAAAGTATCGAAGTATGAGTTCCAATAACTCAATTATTTGTGCAAGCGTTCAATGTGTTATGAGTTTAAGAAAAGTAAACATAGAGTCTGATATTATACTAAAAAAATCGTCGGAAGTAGATGAACTACTTATTTTGAAATGCTTCTCAAAGTTTCATAAGACCAGAGCACTCAGTGATTATAAAGAGAGGCAAAAAATTAAAAACTATGTGGCAACTGTTTACAGACAGACTCCAGCAGAATTTAAGTTTCACTTTCGTTTGTTACCATCAACTTTTGAAGTAAGTACATACCTATAATAATTACTTTCTATAACTATTAAATATGTAGGTATTCATTTTTATTATATTATGTTATAGTTTTTGCTGATGCTATTACCACCAGTTGAAACAGTTTTAGGGCGAACCCCTATTTCAATTGATCGTCGTTTGCTCTTGACATTATGGGTTTTAGCCAATGAAAAAGAAACTTTTAGATCAGTGGCTGAACGGTTTGGGGTAAGTGAATCAAGTGCTCACAGAATTTTCACTTCAACTGTCAATGATATTCACAATCTTCGTCACGAATATATAGTTTGGCCCCGAGGTACCTTATGTCAAATAGACTCTAATCAAACTTTAATTGAACTCTCTGATAACTCACCAAACTACATAATATTAATATTTTTAGGAGCTGAAAGGGTACGCAATTCCTTAGGATTTCAAAATTTGAGGAATATTCCTTTTCCTGGTGCTTTTGCTGCAGTTGATTGCACGCATATTCGTATTAGTGGCAATATAAAAGATAATAGCTATCTTAATCGGAACAGATACCATAGTGTAAATCTACAAGCAGTTTGTGATTTTGATGGTAATCAATAATTATATGAATACAACATTTAAAGTCAAGAAAAGATATATTTTAAGAAAAAATAGCAGTACCTATAACTGATTGTAAAATTAATACATTCCTCGTATATAATTTAATTTAATTTATTTTATTTTAAATAGTCTTTTTATTCTGTTCTAGGATTGTTTATTGATGCTTTTGTAGGATTCCCTGGATCCTGTCATGATGCATTTGTGTTCTCAAATAGTCCATTATATCAGGCTTTAGAAGATAATCCTAGATTACTTTTACCTAATGAGCATTATATATTAGGTGATTCTGCATATCCACTTAAAAAGTATTTGATGAAACCTTATCGTCGTTCAATACTAATGTCACCAGAACAAAAGTTTTTTAATACAGTTCTTTCTTCTTCAAGAACTTGTATTGAGCAAGCATTTGGAAGTTTAAAGGGACGTTTTAGACGTTTGAAAGGAATTGAATCAACTGATATCACATTCATTTCTAAGACTACAGTAGCGTGTTGTATTCTACACAACTTATGTGCTAAACAAGGTAAAATCTTTTATATTTAAAGCAAATTATGTTAAATATATTTTATATGTACCATCAGCTTTTTAAATCACGGGTTTTTAGGAGAGGATATTGAAGAATATGTTGAAGTTGAGGATGGATATGATTCAAATGAACAAGGAGCTGTTGATTATAATCAAATAGAAGAAGAAACATGTCGAGATGATATTTGTAGAATTTTATATAATACTATTTAATATTTGTACAATTTTATTAATATATAGTCGTGTATTCAACTTTGGTACGTGTTATTTTAATTTAAAAATCTCTTTTCTATACATTAAAAAAAAAAAAGGAAAACATTATAACAAATATGAAAATATTTCATATATTTATGAGTCATTGTTTGAAAAACTTTTATTCACTTAAACTATATCAGCCTTATGATATTTAATTAACAAATTAATAACATTTTTATAATTATAAGTATTAAAAACATAACTGAGATTCATATGAACTCATGTAATATTTTACACATTACAAATAATCAACATATTAATAATAATGAATATAACTTTAAACGTTTACCACTTTATATCAGTCTYATGATTTATAAAATCTAAATAAAAATAATAAACATAACATAACTGAAATAATGATAATTCAAACCAAGAAAATCATAATATGTTGTTTGCTTTGTCAGCCATAGTCTTGACAGCTTGAGACATTGTACACAATGCTTCTATCTCTTTTTCTTTGAGGGCCAATAGTTTTTTTTGGATTTCATTTTGACTTTCAAGTTCTATCTTCTTCAAATTTATATAATCAGCCATTCCATATCCAGTCTTCAACCTTTTATGACTCTCTTGTCTGGTTTCTCTTATTGAAATATCATGCTTAGTATTTCTTATACTATCAGATTGACCAGGAGATTTATCAAGTATATCAGAGGATTCTGAATGACGACCATCTTCGTTAAGAGTATAAGATGAATTTAACGTACTTATTATTGTATTTGAAGGAGGCCTTACATTAGGTTTGTTTCCAAATTGCTCATCAATGAGATCATAATATTCCCAAGTAACACTGTCTCTACCTGATAAATTTGACTTTTTCACATTAGCTTTGTAAGTAACCCACAGATTTCTCCATTTCGAGTCACATTTATCAGCATTAACAGGTGCATGGTTTGGAAATGATGTATTTAATTTTTCAGCCACTTTTGTCCATAGAACATTTTTTTTACATTTATTTCCTTGGAAGCAAGTGTCCATTTCGATGCGTGTCTCAATGAGCAAAGTCACAAGTTTTTTGTTCCATATAAATACATCTGAAAAATAAATTAGGATATTTTTTTTTATAAGTTATAGAATAAAAAAGCAGGTAAGTCAATGTCTTTTTACTGTACAGTAGTTTATAAGTGGGTTACTAAAATGTATAGTATTAAATTTTAATTCAATGATAAAACTCCATTGTACACGAAAAACGATTAATGTCAGTCTAGGATATTTTATACTGAATTAATTATATTGTTATTTAAAAATAAAAAAATGTAGGTACTTTTAAAATAAATTCCAAATTAATTTAACAGATTCATTATCTACCTGACTCACTCAGTTATTCATAGTATAAAGTTAATACTATAATTCGATGAAAACTTATAACAAACAAATATAAAGACAAGCTAATCATTAATTTTGTTCACAATAATTAGCCCTCTAATAGAGTAGATTATAAATAATGTACCTATATATGTATAAATATTATATATCTAAATATATACTAGGTATTATATCACGTATTATATGAATTGGTGTGCCGCGAAAATTTTGTAGGAGAAGAAGTGTGCTACGTTGTTAAAAAGGTTGAAAACCACTGGTATAAACAATTTATTATAAAATATTAATAGAGTGATATTAGTGATTTTTTATTACCTTGAGTTGTATCGGAAAAAGATGGTTCATTGTCTTGAACTGGTGATTTAGTACATCTAACTGGTTGACTCTCTTCAACTACAATCCCATTACTGGTTAAAATATTAACGTCCATCATAATTTGTTGGATACCGTCATCTAATAAAATATTAATTTGAATATAAATTTGAATCCATAAATATATTTATTGATGTAAGAATATGAGAATATATAAGTATTTACCATTTTCTACATTACATAATATTGAAAGTCTATCTGCAGACCATATACGCCCAACACCTTCATATTCGACGAATCCAATGAAATTAAACATTGTCAGATAATAAGATAAACAAAATAAAACGAATTCTAAATTTCTAAATCTAAACAAGAAACGTAAACGTTAGAATATGCCGAGATAATCTTTTTTCGATGACTGAAAAAATTCATTTTGCTATCATAATACTAATTACTGATAACAAAATAAATATCAATCAGAAAAATCAATAAAATTTTATGTTGGATTCGATTGAAATCTAGTTGGTAACGCTGAATTTTGGAACAATATCCAGCAATAAAACATTTTTTAATTGTTGAGTTTTGGAACGCAAATTATCATTTTGATTGAACAACGCTGAGTTTTGGAAGGGACTCTAATATTTTGATTCATATGTAACAGGAACGTACGCCGACATCGTGTCGGTCGTTGAACCAGCTAGTAGATAATAATATTATTGTAGTTGTCTACCACTCCGCTACTCCACCGCCCATTTCATATACAACGCCTCGGCCGCGGAGGCCAAGCCGAAACAGAACGACTGGTACATGCGACCCTGGTACCGTCGACTCCGATCGTCTACGTCCATGGTGGTACCATGTCGACGGAATCGGCAGAGGACCAACTCAGTTTTGATACCAATACAAGGACGCGATACTCTACTCGCATATTGTACTCCCTCCGTCTTACAATAAGTGCGTAACTTGGCAATTTTTACGCTCATCAGATCGCGTTCAACTCCGTAACTCCGTTCGTTTAGAATTTCTTATACGATTTTAAAATAAGACTATTATCATTAGTAAAAAATAAATTAGGCTTTTTATTGTATTTTGATTGTAACTCAAAGTTTGAGTATTTTAAGATGCACAAATAATTTACTAAACAAAACACTCACAACTTGTTTCTAAACTAAAATATAATTTTAAAAAACCATTATATTGACTAGATAATAATAATCTTACCTTTAAATTGTATTTGAGGTCAATTCACTCTATATTCTAAAGTAATGGAGTGATCTGATGAGCATACAATTACAATTTGCCATGATACACACTTGTAAGACGGAGACAACGCGTGTGGGTATCACGTCCAAGTCAAGTGCGATTTTTTAAGTGCCTGCTAACGAGTCACGGTAATGTGCTCGTAGTTGATGAGCGTTGGTATCGAATAAACTCATGCGTCGGTCGATTACGTTGTTCGGAGCACGCCGACGAAAAGAAAAATAACCGAGAGCTGCCGCATTACCTAAGCTACTCTTGAAATAAATATTAATTATTTTGTGTGTGTATGTGTCAGTCGTTTTCTGATAACATTAATAATATTACCTGTATTCGATACTATCTCTGAAAATAATTTTATTTGTCATAAAATTTGTTACTTACGTAAAACGACTTTTACATTTTGTCGCACGCAGATAACAGTTAAAATCCAACAAAAAAAACACCATTGTCCACTGAAGAAAGGAACGATTTGTATTATTTAATAATACATTTATGTATTATATTTTTTGTTAATTATTTAACATTTTATTTTATTACATGGGAACTTATACGTAGTTGTGACTATCTGGCACAACACGTGTGAGCTATTTCGTGTGCCACCAGCAGGGGATGGTCCAATGGAGGATCTCTGTTGCCAAAGACAATGCTAAGTCTTGGAAACGCAGAGGCCTTTGGTGGCAGGGCTTGAAACCGATTTCAAAATCGGTTTTAAATACCGGTTAAAACCGATTAAAAATCGAAATCGATATCGAAATCGTTATCGAAATTATTATAAATCAAAACCGGTATTAAAAACTGTAAACATAACCGTAAAAAATAAAATACCGGTATTCGAAATCATAATCGAAATCTTAACTTATTAAAACCGATATAAAAAATTT